CAACCTTACAACTGCAGCTGTCCACTCTGAGCTTATTCAGCATGATCTTTCAGCCGAATATAGTGCTGACACGAATTTAGACTTGCCTGTAATTGATGTCGTTTGCACTCAGCCGTCTCAGCTATGCACTAAGTCGGGTAGGCTTGTTAAGCCTCCAGCCAGACTTATATGTGAAATGAATGAACAGGTTGTGGATGGTTAAATGTCAACTGTGGACTCTCTGTTTTCCTTTGTAAAGACCAAGATTGCAGGGTAAATTTGTGTTATTTAGATTTTTTTTTTTTCTCAGTGATTGTTTGTAGAGCAATGGTTGTACATCAAAAGATGTAAATGGCATCTTTTGGGTCTGTGTTGGTAAGCATGTTGGCCTCACTTTTGCTAACATTATTCCTTAAGGAAAGTTTAGAACTGATGTGACTATTATGTGCTCTCTTCATCATACTTTTACTTTAGTGTAGTATGTACTTCTTTGGTGATGTTTGGTATTGTTTTAGCAGAATTTAAGGGGGTGTATGTAACATAGTTGAAATGGTTCAGTTTAAATTCTGCTAGTATGGGTTTTATGGTTGTCCTGTGATGAGTGTTTTTTTTTTTGGCGCCCCCTACTGGTTGCCTATAAAAGGAGGAAGAACTGCAGATTCCACACAGTCTGTCAGGAACTCCACTGTGTACCCAGAGTTGGCGAACCAGTAGAGAGGCTTACTGTGTTTTTGTTATTGTTAACACTCATTACAGAAATTTACCCAACTGGTCTCCACTGGTGCTGTGTATTGGGGAGGAAGTCACACTGGTAAACCAGCCTCGTTTAAAACCAGAAGTCAGCAGAACCTCGAGGTCGACCTCCTTCGGTCAGCCGGACCCGGGAAACACGATGACATTTAACAATGAAATTCCCTGAAAATATTTCTAATGCATCAAAACTAAGTCTGTGATTTTCACTGCAAAACAATAAACAGTCAAAAACGGTGAATCTGGACATAAGCAAAAATAATGAAGAGATGAAAGCATCAGTGAACGCATCACCACAACACCCCACCTCTCCTGGTCCGACTCCACCTCCAATCAGAACCGGGTCAGAACCAGATCAGAACCGGTCAATAGCTGCAGTGCCTCCTCCACTACAGGGTGCACCTGTTCATTGGACATTTTCTTCACAGTTTCCTTTTCTGCTGACCAAACTGTCCAAGGCTGCGGCGGCCATCTTTACCGCAGTAAACATAGCGATGCGGCGGCCATCTTTACTGCAGTAAACATCGCGCTGCGGCGGCCATCTTTACCGCAGTAAACATAGCGATGCGGCGTCCATCTTTAACCGCAGTAAACATAGCGATGCGGCGGCCATCTTTACTGCAGTAAACATCGCGCTGCGGCGGCCATCTTTACCGCAGTAAACATAGCGCTGCGGCGGCCATCTTTACCGCAGTAAACATAGCGCTGCGGCGGCCATCTTTACCGCAGTAAACATAGCGCTGCGGCGGCCATCTTTACCGCAGTAAACATCGCGCTGCGGCGGCCATCTTTACCGCAGTAAACAGCGCTGCGGCGGCCATCTTTACCGCAGTAAACATAGCGCTGCGGCGGCCATCTTTACCGCAGTAAACATAGCGCTGCGGCGGCCATCTTTAATGTATCGGTTGAGAACTCTTACTGTTGTTCCTGTTGAACAGAAATCTGGTCCAGGCGGACATCTTGGAGCCACACTGCGCCCTGACCCGCAGGCTGTAGTCGGAGTCAGATCCCAGGTCAAAGGTCAGGTCGCAGCTGGTGAGGGGGATCCTCTGGCACTCAGTAGCGTTTATCCAGCTGCCGTTCCTGATCAGGAGCTCAAACTCCCTGAAAACAGAAAGAGGTGGAAACAAAGTGACTCAGAAACAGCCTGACTCTCCGACGTCCTGCGGTCTGGTTACAGTCACTGAAGTCTCCATCAGTTTGATTCTAAGAGAATCTCAGTGATCCTGGCTGCTCTTTCTGCTCTAATTGTTTTGGTCTCAGGTTCAGGATCAACGTTGCTCAACAGCCGTTGATCTGCATTCCCCCTGCAGGATGCTGCAGCTGTCAGTCAGGCATGCAAACGGCTGCCAGCCCAACGTTGATCCCTCTGGCCTCCTGTTCACTGTGACTCACCTGCCTCGTCCATCAGGTCGGGTCGGTTTGCTGGAATATGAAGCAAAACTAAAACATAAACAGAGTCAGGCTGCTGGTGCTCATAGACAACATGTTGTCTCTGCAGCTGGTCTAAATTTTACCCGGTAAATAAATCTGTGTTTTCATTGAGACATGAAGAAAACATGAGCAGAAGCTGCTGCTGGTTTCATTCACTGTTAGTTTATTAAAGTGTTTTACGCTATAAAAACATAATAAGATTCATTAATTATGAAACAAGAAACAAACGTATTTTGTTAAATTCCCTCCCAAAAATCATCAATGCACATCAAATACATTGATTAATGATCCAGTTCTGATCAATCCAAAGCAACTAACAGGTTTTAGCCTTGATTTAAAGGAACTCAGTGTTTCTGCAGCTTTTCAGTTTTCTAGACGTTTGTTCCAGATTTGTGGTGCATAGAAGCTGAAATCTGCTTCTACATATTGATTTCTGGTTCTGGATGAACGGATGAATTTCTCTATGTTTTGCTGCGACTTTAGTCGTCTAATCGTGGAGATGTTCTTCAGGTGACAGAAGGCCGACTTTATAACTGACTCTATGTGTCTGAAGGTTTAGTTGGCCTGATCTCTAAAAGCAGGCGGCTCACAGAAATCTGTCACTGGGACTTTAAATCTCTGTTCGGTTGTATTATTTAGCCTCGTTAATATTTTTCTAATAGAAATGATGATTTGCCAGAAGAGCTAAGATCTGTAAGCTAAAGCTTCGGTCTTCACTGTGTCTCAGGCTGAGTGTTAATTATGACCCAAATGCAGAGCCAGCTGTGTGATGAAGAGGAGTTTAACACTGAAAATCCAACAGAAGCAAATGAGGGACAGTAGAGGCAGAGTGCATGCTGGGAAACTGAGGGAGGAGACTAATGAATCCTTACAATAACACATATTGTAAGGATTAGAGTTTATTTAGGTTTCTGTGTGGGTTGAGTCTCTGTTGTCTCGTCTATCCCTGGATTGACCTCAGCTGTGTCTTGGTCCTCGATCCCTCTGTCTATTTAAGTCCAGCTGTGTCTCTTTGCCAGGTCCTCGTCTCATGTCTTTACTCTTGTCTTCTGTAGCCTGTTGCTTCCAGTTTTGAGCTCCTGGCCTTCTGCTCACCTGTGCTGCCTGGATTTTGTGTTTATTCTTCATTAAATCGTTTCAATCTACTAACCTGAGTTCACTGCGTCATCCTCACCATTCCACAACCGCAACACATGAAACATACTGAGAGCACTTTACAAATAAGTATATTATCATGATCTTTATTATTATTATTATGCTCATTTCAGTGAATCACTGACTTGGCTTCAGTCCAAAGTATCGCAGCCTGATCAATAACTCAAGCCTGATAAAAAATAAAAACGAACTGAGCAGAGATTCGGTGTTTGAGATGAAGGTTGGTAGTTGGAGGCAGAAAAACCATGAGGTTCCTGTTGGCCTCAGATATTTATTTTCAGGTTTGTTCCAGGTTAGACTTTGATAAACTTTATTTAGGTTCAGGTTGATCATGACATGATGACTCAGGCATGAAGGTGAACGTCTGAATGGTTTCCTGGGAATGCTGCATGACTGGCTCTGAGTTTAATGAGCGATTATGAAAACAAATCAGGAGAAAATGAGTTTCCAGAGAAGATGTCAGAAACTAATCCGACTTTATGCTTCACTGGTTTTCAGCTCTTTGCTCTCTGGATGTTTCTCCTGACTGGTTTGGTGTCAAATAACGTTAAGATGTTCAACAAAGTGTGTCGCTGATTTTTTTAATTTTAAAGTTTCTTTATTCTCATGATGCACTCAGATGAGATGAGATTAATAAATACAGAGTTTCAGCTAATAAAATCCTAAAACAGTTTTATAAATATGAACCTATAAAAAGTTGATAGTTTCTTTTGTTGTGATGAGAATGAAAGCTGCGGTCTGAGCCTTTACAGCGACGCTTGGTGAACGGAGGAACAGAGAACCGTCTGATTCACAGCAGCATGAGACACAGGTCCACAATGTTTCACACTAACTGGTCTGAAATCTGATCTCCTGTCTGTTGAGCCGCTGGCGGACATGATGGGTCCACAGCCAGGGACGCTCGTCCCCATGTCCCGGGACGGAGACGTTCGTCTCCATGTCCCGGGACGGAGACGTTCGTCCCTATGGTTCGTCCCCATGTCCCGGGACGGAGACGTTCGTCCCTATGGTTCGTCCCCATGGCTCGTCCCCATGTCCCGGGACGGAGACGTTTGTCCAACACAAAAATCAGTTTGAGAAAGAAACCGAAGAGAAAACCCTCAAAGTATTTCTACTGCAATGTTTTCAATATTTACAAAGTTAAACTATCATCTGCATGGCACGTTGAATTTACAACTTTAATTATCAGAACAATATTTAGAAGATTTTACTAAATTTTGATTCCCATTCATTCTAAATTTTAAATGATCCAACAAGGTATAAGAACATTTAATTGTAAAGTATTGCAGGCATGTTAATCCAACAGAAAAACATGATGTTTATCAATCATTTGATAAAAACAACACTTTATATTTTACTTTGACGTAACGTCCCTTATTATCCACCAGGGGGCGGTGTTTCCTGCTCGGCATTTCCTCTTCCTCCAGAAGTCTCTGCACAGTAAAGCCCAAAGTATTCATACTGGCAGATTTAGGTTTAAAGTGACCTTTTACACATTTCCTCTAATGTCAATCTGAGATTAGGGTGATGGTAAAGAGTCCTTCAGTCCTCATGGACTTGGAGTTGATCACTAAACATAAATTATCAAAATATCAGGAAAATACAAAACACATCTCCATCGTTTCTTCATGCAGTTTATTTAAAATCTTCATTTATTGACTGACATAGATCAGTGTTCTTGAGTTAATATGGACAAAATTATACTTCATTATAAAAACACATTTCAACATCCACAAAAACACATTTATTTTAAATTCAGTGCAGAAAACAACTTGAAGAAAAACGTCCTTTTACAAATTATTGTTTTAGTTTCACAGCGTTCCAACATCAAGCATCAGTTTTTCTAGGAAGTTTTACGTTTCTTCAATCAGATCGAGATGAAAAACATACATTTGTGATATTTTCAGAATCATTGTTGGTGAAAAATCTTTTACACCCTCAGAAAAGAAAGATTATAATTTATTCTGCATTTAAAGAAAGATTTTCTTTCCAACATGAATGTTTAACTCATTCATCTAAAGTCTAAATTTGATGGAACTGTTGATCAAATGGAAGCAGAAAATATTTTAGTCTGGACAGAAAGTTGGGGTAAAAAAAGATTTATAAAAAAATAACTGAAATAAAGACAAAAGAAAAGCATCCAAGACTGTCATGGCAACGGGGCAACAAATCACTTCCTGTTGCTGTTGCCATGGTAACTAGCTGCATCAGGAAACAAAACCCTAAAATGATTTTTTTATTTTCTTTAAATCTTTTCATGACAAAACAAGAAGCAGTTTATAAAACAATAATCTTTGAAATAAAAAGACGCAGAAGAACCGAACGTTAATAAAACAGTTTAAATTCTCCTTCATCAAAACGTCTCAGTTTGAACCCAAACCTGCTAAAGTGTTCATCTGACGTGAAACCATGAATATATTAATATAATTAACATAAACATCCTCGTTCTTCATCAGGTAAAGTTTAGGTTTTACATGTATATAAATATAACAGGAACTCTTATCTGATCTTTTTATGGTATTTTCTTTTTCTCAAATCTGCTGAGAACAACTGTAGCTGTGACCTTTGACCTCCTCTCCCCTCATGCAGCCTGGTTTTAAACCAGAAGTCAGCAGAACCTGGAGGTCGGCTTCCTTCGGTCCGCCGGACCGGGAAGCGGCTGTTTCCATGGGGATCGAAACGCACGCCTTCCAGCTCGTTTAGACCTGCAGGTCGAGCAGCGCCGAGTTGGGGTCACGCAGGGGTCACGTTGCCCCGCCCCTCAGCAGGTGGGGCGTTTCCTCACAGAGCTCCTCCTGAAGAATCACAATCCGGACGGCGACGTTTCCGTTCTGCACACAGACCAAAAAACCTGCTGCAAAACTTCAACATTATGAAATAAATTCAGATCTAAATCCAGACCTCCTGCTGTTTGCTGAATTTCTACACCAGTTTCACAAAGCAGGAAGCACCAAGACAAGCAGCAGTGACGCCGCTCATCCAACCGTTTCTGCATCACAGCATCATTTTCTCTGATTACAGAGAAAAACAGACAAAACTGTCTGAGCAGAGAAACATCAGAATCTAAAGTGGGAAAAGCATCATTCAGAGATAAACGGCAGCGGAGGATAGAAGAAATCTGGTGTTCAAAATTGAATCAATCCTGTTTCTCCATCAGTATAACAGAAAAATATATTTTTAAGTTGTTTTTGGTTGAGCCTTTAAGTGATTTTACTTTTGTTTTGCTTAAATCCTGGAAGGAACAAATTCCCCAACACTATTTATTTTATTTCACACATTACAAGAGTTTTTGTTCCTCTTTAGAACTAAAACTTTCTCTAGGAGAAAATTCCCCAAAATGTAACTATATGTCGGTTTTTAAAACTTAAAAATAAGAAAAATAAAATCTTGTCAGACTTAGAAAATTAGTCTTCAAAAATTTTGGCCTTTTTTCTTCATACAAATTTTCTCACATTTTGCACCCAGAACTATTTCTGTGAAAATCTCAGTTTTGTTGTCTGGTGAATAAAAACAGAATAAAAAGTGAAATCTGCAGGTGGAGGTTCTGAAGACCCACCAGCGACGGCGGCAGCGGCTCTTTCTGGAAATACTTCTGACAGGAGTCGGGTCGACAGGAGTCGGGTCGACAGTGGACGAGCGACCAGAACAAACCGATCAGGAGGCCCAACATGGCCACCACCGTCACCGTCACCACGGTGGGCTGCTTCCACGCCGGAGCGCCAGGACCTGCAGGAGAGCCAGGCACGGTTCTGATTAAAGCACAGCCAAATGGGAACTGATCCGTTTTCTAAGGAGATTTGCACCAGCGGTTCAGTCCGCTTCGCTCGGCGCAGTGTGAATGCTAATCGAACTCTGGTCCAAAACTCAGTTTGGGTTCAGTTGAAGTGAACTTCAGTTTGGTTTGAATTCTAACACCAAGCGGACCTGAGACCACTCCACAAATAAGGCATTCTGGGTAATTACAACCGAAACAAAGGTGCTAGCCTAGCGCTAGCAGGACAAATGTCCTGTGTTATTTTACCGAAGACTAGAGAGAAATCCTCCAACCGCTAAAATCTGACACATCCATTTTAGTTTTTGTGAAGAAGGATGTCGAGGTCAGCGTCTTCAGAGTTTTTCATGTTGTTTCATCCAGTGGTTCTTGGTGCAGCGCCCCCACAGGCGAGGAGGGGAACTGGTTGCTCAAATCGTTTGGTTGTTTGAGTCAAAGCAGAGAGAAGAAGAACCGCAGCAGCTGGAGCAAATGTTTCAGCTTTGGTCCCAATCAAACCAACTCTACTGGCCTATCAGGTGAAAACATCTGTACTGTAGAAACCATCAATGAATCTGTTACTACAAAATATATTCTTTGGATATAAAGACTTTTAACCCCAGAACAGATCTATTCTTGCAGCTGCTGTTTCACCTGGTTTTATGTTTCTGTAAAGTTTTCAAACCTGTGATGGAAACAGTGGCTGTCGGTGAACCCACTCTGCACGTCCTGATTCAGGACAACCTTCGCCTTGACGCAGTACACCGCTCCCTCCTGCAGGGCGGCGACCTGCAGCACCTCCTGGTCTGCTGGCATGGAGTAAACTTTAGTCTGAAAAACAGAAATGAAGAAGAAACGGTTCAGTTCATGCTGCCTGAAAACAGCTGCAGGCTGAGACTCCAAGATTATCCAACTTCTGCAGAAATAAACTGAGGGAGAAAAAGAAGAAATGAAGATAAAACGAGAATAAAGACGAATAAAACAACCTGATGCCCTTTGTCTTTCCTCCACATCGTGACCGTGGTAACGGCGGTGAGAGGAAACTTCCTGACGGAAACCAGCAGAACGGCGCCCGCTGCCGTCAACCTGAGCTCAGGGACCGGAGGCGTGACTGCAGAGAGACACGATCACACTGCCTGAACATACGACCTTTGACCTGCAGAGAAATCTTTACTGCAGCGGTAAAGATGGCTGCGGCGGCCATCTTTACCGCAGTAAACATAGCGCTGTGGCGGCCATCTTTACCGCAGTAAACATAGCGCTGTGGCGGCCATCTTTACCGCAGTAAACATAGCGCTGTGGCGGCCATCTTTACCGCAGTAAACATAGCGCTGCGGCGGCCATCTTTAATGTATCGGTTGAGAACTCTTACTGTTGTTCCTGTTGAACAGAAATCTGGTCCAGGCGGACATCTTGGAGCCACACTGTGCCCTGACCCGCAGGCTGTAGTCGGAGTCAGATCCCAGGTCAAAGGTCAGGTCGCAGCTGGTGAGGGGGATCCTCTGGCACTCAGTAGCGTTTATCCAGCTGCCGTTCCTGATCAGGAGCTCAAACTCCCTGAAAACAGAAAGAGGTGGAAACAAAGTGACTCAGAAACAGCCTGACTCTCCGACGTCCTGCGGTCTGGTTACAGTCACTGAAGTCTCCATCAGTTTGATTCTAAGAGAATCTCAGTGATCCTGGCTGCTCTTTCTGCTCTAATTGTTTTGGTCTCAGGTTCAGGATCAACGTTGCTCAACAGCCGTTGATCTGCATTCCCCCTGCAGGATGCTGCAGCTGTCAGTCAGGCATGCAAACGGCTGCCAGCCCAACGTTGATCCCTCTGGCCTCCTGTTCGCTGTGACTCACCTGCCTCGTCCATCAGGTCGGGTCGGTTTGCTGGAATATGAAGCAAAACTAAAACATAAACAGAGTCAGGCTGCTTGTCACTCGCTCACTCACTCATATGTATCCTGTCTTTGAGCAAATAGTAACTCAAACACCAAACTGCTCTGCAAACAGAGCAGCTGAAAAAAAGCTGGTTTCATTTATTGTGTCCAACATAGAAATTAGTTATTATTTTTGCATTATGGGTCAATAAGTTTGTATTTATGTATTATTAGAAAATAAATAAAGAGAGGAAAATGAAAGCTGGAGGCAGATTTGATCATTAATATTTATGATTCATTAATGACAGGAAACATTTTTCTGTTTTATGCAGATCTATTTGCTCTCTGCGTTTCTCTCTGTTCATCAGTTCAGAGGTTTGGTGACTTGACTCACCCCTGGTACTGAACGGAGTAAAGCACGGTGGAGTTGCATGATGCTCTGGGCTGCGTCCAGCGCAGGACGTGTCTCCTGCTGACCGTGTCCATGGAGACGGCCTGCGGAGCCGGCAGCGTCCCGACGCCTGCAGGGAGTTTCATCATGAGCCAAACTCAGTCGGGTCGACTCAGATCTTGTTGCTCTTTAAAAATATAAATTCTTCCTCACAAACATTTAGTAAAACATTTAATTCTGCTGAACAATAAGTTGAATGAAAAACTGTCAAATGTTTTGTGGTAAATTGAAGCCGATGGATGAAACATCTGCAGAACTGAATTCAGTTTAAATGATTCTGATTGTTCCAGCAGAACCAGAACAACACGACCAGAACCCACAGAACCAGTAACTAGTTACTTTTCTCAGCTCTTTGCTTTTGCTAAAGTTTATTCAAGTGAGACCTCTTGTGTTATAGACCAGCTTTGTTATTCTAATATTAAATATTACATGATTTCATAATTATTCTTTAGTTTTTTTACAGTAGAAATCGAACTGATCTGTCGCTAAACTCAGATCATTTATTTTCTATTTTTAATTTCACTTTAGTAAAAACATGTTGAAGTCGTTTTGCTCTTCAATCAGAGCAGTTATGATTTCATGTTCACAGCCCAGTAATATCTCACTAATATGAAATCACAGTAATATCTCAATAATATGAAATCACAGTAATATCTCACTAATATGAAATCACAGTAATATCTCAATAATATGAAATCACAGTAATATCTCAATAATATGAAATCACAGTAATATTTAAGCTTCTGTGCAGATTATTTTTGTGGTATTAATAATGCTATGAAGAACTGCAGCAGGAGTAACCATGTATTGATGTTGATCTTCTGCTTTGCTCTGGTTTCTGCTCACCGTTGCTGAAACTCCAGCAGGACGACCATCATGAGCCTCCTCATCGCCATGGCAGCAGACGGCGTCCCACAGAGCGGACAGAAACGTGTCTGATGTCCAGCGGAGCGTCGCTCTAACCATCGTCTGCTCGGGTCCAGCCTGGGGGAGGCAGAGGAGTCGGCAGATCCGCTGAGATCCGCTGAGATCCGCTGAGATCTGCTGAGATCCGCTGAGGAAATGTGACCCGCCCAGATGCTGAGGACAGACGTAAAGACGGAGATCTGGTCCAACCGGCTGGAAAAGCCTTCAGGCTTCAGCTGCCGGTTCCGGTTCACATGGAGACACGCCTGAACGGATCAGAGGAAACGCTGCTGCTCTGCTCTCCCTCACTGACACCAAATGATCATTAAAAACATATTTCAAGTCTGATTCTGTCCTGATTTAGTTTCCCCGGTTTCCCTGACCTCTGACCTCTCCTGCAGCTGGAACAGATAAAGTTGTTTTTCTTTATTCTTGTTGTTTTCCTGCAGCAGTGACCTCTGACCTCTCCTGCAGCAGTAACCTCTGACCTCTCCTGCAGCAGTGACCTCTGACCTCTCCTGCAGCAGTGACCTCTGACCTCTCCTGCAGCAGTGACCTCTGACCTCTCCTGCAGCAATGACCTCTGACCTCTCCTGCAGCAGTAACCTCTGACCTCTCCTGCAGCAGTGAGCTCTGACCTCTCCTGCAGTGATGACCTCTGACCTCTTCTGCAGCAGTGACCTCTGACCTCTTTTGCAGCGATGACCTCTGACCTCTCCTGCAGCAGAAACCTCTGACCTCTTCTGCAGCAGTGAGCTCTGACCTCTCCTGCAGTGATGACCTCTGACCTCTTCTGCAGCAGTAACCTCTGACCTCTCTTGCAGCAGTGAGCTCAGGGCTCGGCGCGTCGTCGTGATGCGTTTCTTCTTGGTTTTGTTTCTCGACGCGTTTCTCGAGCGGCTCAGAGACTCATCAGTTTCTGCTCTGATCAGATCGGCTTCTGCTGAACCAGTGAAGTCAACATGATGGTTTTACTGGGAGGAAATGATTCCATTAAAACGTCTGATCTGACTGGATGGATTTCTTATCATGATTCCTCACAGAGAACAAATGAGATTATGATGTTCACACATTCTTAAGCGTCTCCACAGGAAGCAGAGACTCACTGTGACTCAGTGAAACAAACTGATTCATGTTTTCAGTTCTGATTTAAAGGAACCAAATGTTTCTCATGTTTTCATTTCTCTCATTTTCTCCTCAATTTTAGAGATTTTCTGTGACATTTTTGACTCAAACTTCTGACTTTATATTTTCCATGTTTGTATTTGAAAGGCTCTTGTTGGTCGTCTCTAAAAGTCAACGGCTTTTTACTTCCTGCGCAACTTTTTTATAAGCTGAGCATTAAAACATTAAAATCTGACCGACTGCTTTTATGAATTAAGGTTTTCTGCTTTGTCTGAAATAATTATTTCATTTTCGCACGAAACTATGGAAGCTTTTAATCCAAGAAAATTGTTTTATTTTATTTAGATTTTTTTTGTCATCAGACAAAATCCAAGTTTTTATCATAAATATGTGAAATGAATGTGTATAAATGTCTTCCTCTGGCCAGTTCTTCCTCATTGTTTCATTCTTTATATTTTAATTATTCCATTAACTAGGATGTTTCCATAGTTTATTGTTTATTTCCTCCTGTTTCTCACATCATTTATTTTATTGTTATTTTATTGTTTCAGTGTTAATATTTTGGCTGTCTTTTAATGGACGGTCTGGTTTGGACTCATTAGGTAAAAGTTGCGAAGTGATCCTCTGTCAGAATAGAACGTCTCTGTTTTTCATCCAGTCCTGCAGGTTTTCTCCTCTGACCTTCTGGTTTTTCCTCAGGCTTGATTTGCTGAAATCGACTCGTTTCTGAAAGACGGGAATTTGACTTGAGTGGAAATGAGAGAATGAAGTTAAAGTGAATTAAAAATCTGTTCATTCTGTGAAACTGGAAACTTTTCAGTTTTCAGACTCTTTCCTATCTCAGCATCACTTTATTATTCAGGCCTGTAAACATGTTTGCTTTGTAGCCTGAAGAAAAAACATGAAAAACACAAAAACGCTACAAAGAAAACATGAAAAACTTCCGAATATCCAGACGAAGTCAGAAATACTTTAATGAGGGAAATTAATCGTGTTATTGATTTTATGGAACAGTTTGTGTCAATCTCCTGATCAAACTAAAACATATTCAGATAATTATTTCTGTTATTAAGTACAAAATGAAACTGAAATGGAAACAGAGGAATTAAAGCTACTCTGTTTTCTAAAGGAGCTGAGTGACAGAAAGGTCAAGGGTCAATTCGTCAGGCTGCCCTGGTGTCCAGTAGAGGGTGCCGTGGTGCCACGCCCGTTTAGGAGGTGAAACCGACCAGAACCACCTGACCAGGCCAGAACCAAACTGGTCAGAATCAGAGAATCAGTAGCTTCCTCCGACTGCTGAGGAAGCTGAGTGACCCGACTGAAACCGGGTCACTCAGCTTCCTCAGCAGTCGGATCAGAACGCGTCAGACTTTGCACTCTGACGGTGAGCAAACATTAACCGCCAGCTGCCATAAAACCAGTAAACCCATAACAGCTGCTGACTGGGCTGCTGAGTTTCACCGAGACCAGAACCACCGGAGAACCCGAACCCAAACCCGCTCCGCTGCCTTTATCCTGCTGGAGACCATTTATTTAGTTTATCCTGAGGTTTTATGATGACATAATCAGTTTTATGTCTAAAGTTTTTCTGGGTTAGGAGAAACGTCACTGTTTCCAGGATAACATCTCACTTCTTCTTTCCTCAGTTGAATCTGTAAAGGTCCCTAAACCCTAAACCTAACTCCTGACCCCGAACCCTTAACCCCTAACCCCTAACCCCTAACCCCTAACCCCAAACCCCTAACCTCTAACCCTAACCCACATTTTCACTTATTCAATAAACACAAATGACAGGTCAGAGTGAAAACGGATAAATATCAATATTACTGATTTAATAAATACCAATAATGTTGATTTACATGTCATTTTTATGTCCAACTGAAAGAAAACCGTCTTGCCGCCATCTTGCCACCATCTTGCCACCATCTTGCCACCATCTTGCCACCATCTTGCCGCCATTTTGCCGCCGTCTTGCCACCATCTTGCCACCATTTTGCCGCCATCTTGCCGCCGTCTTGCCACCGTCTTGCCACCGTCTTGCCACCATTTTGCCGCCATTTTGCCGCCATCTTGCCGCCATCTTGCCGCCATCTTGCTGCCATCTTGCCACCATCTTGGTCAGCTTGGCTGTTTCTGGTTTCAGGTTTTGATGATTAAAACGCTGAACATGTTTCAGAAATATTTCTGAAGACTTCAGACGTTTTACTGGGAACCAGAGACCCTGAAATGTTTGTCCAGTCTGTCTGTGTCTCCGTAGCGGTGGCTGCCATGGCAACATGACTGACTTTGCAGTTTTTTTAGTTGTTTTGGGTGAAAACCTGTTTGAGTCACCATGACATCCAGTCTCTATAGGAGTATCTGAGGAGTGGCTGAAGACTCTCCATCATCATCATCATCATCATCATCATCATCATCATCATCATCATCATCATCATCATCATCATCATCATCATCATCATTATATTCATCATCGTCATTCCTGTGGCCGTATTAGAGATGAAGGGACCGACAGGGAGTGGCCCTGCGTTTTATGGCCCCTGGTTGAGACCAAAGTCCTGCTCATAGAGCCTCAGATTCAGATTAGCTGACGGAGGCATCAGTGACGCTCCAACTTCACCCACCAAAGGTTTCACCTCTCTGGACTTGCTGCTCTTACTTTCTGCCTTCAGGTTTCCAACAGAGGCTCCTTCAGATCGTCTTTAGTTCTTGGATTTCTTCTTGTTTTCTTCATTTTGAGAGGTTTTTCAAAAACGTTGCGACCATGTCGACAGCAGTGGAGGCAGTGGGGTTCGTCATGTGTATGATTGGTTTTCTGATCACCGGCTCGGCGTTGGCTAACGACTACTGGAAGATCTCCACGGTGTCCGGCAGTGTCATCGTCTCTCAGAGGCAGTTTGAGAACCTGTGGCACGCCTGCGCCGAGAACAGCGCCGGCATCGCCAACTGCCGCGACTTTGAGTCCATGCTGGCCCTCCCAGGTAAGATCAGCAATCAGCTAACTGTTTACTGTAGACACAAGTTTTAAAGTCTCTCAGCAAAAAACATAAAACATTGAAATTTGGCATTTTTATCATATTTCTACCATATTAGGTCATTTCATGGCTGATTATTTGCTGGCTTTATGTTGATGACCTGAAATGAGGAGCTGATGTAATTAGCTTGTTGGTAAATCTGTCCTCACATTTAAAATCTGTTGAGTTTATTGGTGGATTTCATTTCCTGAATAAACGATGAGCTGGCTGGATTTCTTTAAAAGCTTAACAGGAATTGGGTCAGTTCAGCCAAATGGCACCAGGTCGAGGGTCCAAAGGTCGGGGGATTTCAGAGTCTGAAGTTTCCCACCCAAAACAGAAAGATTAGAAACTGGATTGTCATTTTGTTTCAAATTAAATAGCAAATAATCTAAACAAAAGTTATACTTTTGAATAAAATGTTAAAATATGCTTTTATTTGTTCTTTCCATCCTGCTCTTGGATCGGTTTTCTTTTGGACGCCATTTTGAACGTCTTTCCCTGCTGGTTGTAAAATGGAGGGAAAACAAAAGTGAAGAAAAAAATAACTTGAATATTTAAAAAAATATTCAAAGGATTTAGGTTGTAAAACATATTAAATGTGTTAAAAATGTAAAACGTCATTAATTCTTGAAGTTATTCTGAGTTTTTATCAGAAAACATTAAATGAAGATCTTGGCTTCTGTTTCCACATTTAGCTTAAAACTCTTACGGTTTTGGGAAACTTTCATAAATTCACCTGATTATGTAGTTTAAATTTCAGAAATGTTTAGTGAAACCAACATTCAGGTTGTTGGAAACCAAATGCCAACATTTCTCTCCTGAAACTCTCGGCGAGTCGTAAAAAGGCGCGGCGGTTTTTATGATCAGCCAATCATTTTGTCAATAAATTACTGCTGTTAAGTTCGTCCTGCTTTAAAAGCAGATAAATTCTGATTCACAACAAATTAAAGACATTTCCTTAAAACTTTAAAACAACCTCCAATGTTGGAGCTTCTTAACATTTTACCTTTCAACCTCCTCTACTTGTATAAAAGTAGTAAATTTCTCACTGACTTTCACTTTTTATAGATTAAATTTGACACAAAAATATTATAAAAATTATATTTCATTATTAGTCTTGACTTGTTGATAAAACCTATACTTATGTAGTAAGCAGATATACATTTTTTTTTTATTTTTTTGAAAAAGAAACCAAAGTGATGATGCATAAATTGACCTTATTTTGAACATTGAAAGTGTAGAGTAACTTAAATTTATCTCAAACAGAAAATTTACCAAATTTGACTTATTTTTGTTTTATGATCAATTTCTGATAAACTAACATGAAACAACTCAGATTAATCAAATTTAGACATAAAGCCATTCATATATGTACTAAAAAGTTGATATTCACTTCAAACTGATTTTATATTTTCTTTCATAATTTTTTAGTTTCAGTTGTTTTTGGAAAAGGTTTTTGCCACATAATGATAGTTTATTGTGGAAAAGCATCCTCAATGTGTGTGTGTGTGTGTGTGTGTGTGTTCCTGCAGTTCACGTCCAGGCGTGTCGCGCTCTGATGATCATTTCTCTGCTGCTCGGCCTCGGCTGCATGATCGTCTCTCTGCTCGGACTCAAATGCATCAAGATCGGCTCGGCCACCATGGAGTCCAAGGCCAAGATGGCCGTCACTGGAGGGATCATGTGCATCCTGGGAGGTAAACACACACACGCACGAACACCCACACACACTCACATTCATTCCATTTTTAAAGCTGCAGTGAAACAGATGAATTTTACCTTTCTTTAGATGCATAAACAATTAGTTCAAATTCAATTAAGGTGACAATATATCACCATAATTTTAATGTTTTCACCAACTGTAGTTTTCAAACATTTAGGGTTGATTTAACATGGAAATCATGATGGAGATTAAAGCTGTAATTTGACTTAAAGATGAAATGAAATAGTCTTTAGTTCATCAAAGTAGCAAAAGGTAAAATATGAAACTGATTCTCAGCATGAAACAAACAACTGGGAATATCAGCTTTAAAATGATGTAACGAGTCCAAAATTATCCAAATATTTACCGTAAATCGACGGTGTTGTGCTGCAGGACTGTGCTGCATCATCGCCTGCTCCTGGTACGGGTACCAGGTGGTTCAGGAGTTCTACGACCCGCTGTATGGAGGAGCAAAGTGAGTTTCCTCCAGTTCACAGCAACCAAACTGGACCTGAACTGGGTCTGAACTGGGCCTGAACTGGGCCTGAACTGCACCTGAAGCCTGTTTCTGTTGCTGCAGGTTTGAACTCGGCGCTGGCCTCTACATGGGTTGGGCCGGAGGCTCACTCTGCATCCTGGGTGGAAGTCTCCTTTGTAGCGCCTGCAAGAGAGCGTCATCTGCTGGAAAGAAAGGGTAAATGAGCTATTTTATTTTTCTCAGATCATGTTTACATCATGATACTGCAGGTAAATTATTTATAAACCATTCTGAACGCTGCGTTTTGTTTTGCAGAGGTTACCCGGCGAAGAAGGTTTACACGGCCACGGCCCGGACCGATACAGAAACCACCAGAGCTTATGTCTAATCACGCATTTTCATCTAGACTGTTTCCACTTGTTTCTAGAAGGTTCTTCTCAGTTTCAAGCTGTGACATAAAAAAACAAAGTAACTTGAAGTTTTTCTCTGTCAATGTTTGTTTTTGGGTTCTGGATGAATCTCCTCAGATACACCATCTGAAAGTCACCTTCTACGCTGATGATGTTGTTGCTGTTGCTGTTTTCTGTCTTTTGTTTGAATTATTTTAAATCTTCGATGTTGGTTTTATTGAAAGTGAAGAACATATCTGATTGATGATGATTTTAGCAAAACTGTTTCACATTTATTTTTATCTGAATAAAGTTTGTTACCAAAACATTTCAACTGTTTAATTTCCTCAGAGACTCTGGACCAAAGAACTCTTAGGGTTAGGTTTGTAATGGTTAGGGTTATGATAAGGGTAAGGATATGGTTTAGGCTGTATAAATGAATGGAAGTCAATGGAAAGTCCCCACAAAGATAGTCATGCAAACATGTGTCTGTATGTGCATGTATATGTAGGTATACGCGCCTGTGTGTGTGTGTGTGTGTGTGTGTGTGTGCTGTAATCTGAAGTGTAATTTGGATGATTAATGCCCTGCAGCCTGTAATCCTGCTCCTCTCTACCTGCTGACAGGCAGGTCGGTGGATTAACGCCCCGCAGCATCACCCTCCAAAGCTGTGCACCAGCTCTGCAGACCGGATCAGAACCGGCGCTCAACCTTCAGAATGCTTTCTGCACACACTCCACATGTCAAAGGTCTGAGCAGCTCAGACTGTGGTGACATGTGATCATGTCAAATGTTCTGAGAAATGGTCAGGTTTATTCAGATTCATTTAACTACAACAAAAACAGAATGACGGTCGTTTATTTCTCTAGTAGTTCCTTTAACAGTTTTTAATCTTTTATCTTTTCATAACTCGGAATCTTTTTCATTTTGTTTTTTCAGTTTATTCTGTGCTTTTTATTTCAATCAAGTTTACATGTAGAACATTTCAGCAACAAGGCAGTTCAAAGTGTTTACATCATAAAAACACAAAAAGTCACAAAAACATCATGCAGTCGACAACTGAGAAACCAGAAGAAACATTTTAACGACCTCCGCCACCAAAATCATCAACATGTTGCTCAATGTTTCATTTCTTATTAATCAAACTCTACATTGCTGGTTTTTAGACGAGATTTAAAGGTTTTCAGTGTTTCGGCTGTTTCGCAATTTTGTTCCTCCAGAATCTGTAATTCTCACAACAAATGCATAAATGTTGTTTTCTGGAGCCAAAGAGTTTGTTAAGCTGTTGGACGTTGTTACTATTTTATGTTTCCATTTATTTATTTATAGTCGTTTTAACCAGGAAACATGAGACAAAACATTTACAGCTGAAGTTGTGTGAATCCTGTCAGATTAAAGGAGTTTATTTATGAATAAATGAGTTTATTTATGAATAAAGTCTCCAGCAGCTGCCGGATGAAGAACCTCAGGATGAGTAAAGTGAAACGCGGCGCTGCAGGCAGAGCTTCGTTCTAATCCGGCCCGATGTGCTGACGGAGGTGGAACCGCTCCAATCCTCTCAGGAAGTCTGGCTGTCTGCGGAGCAGCGAGGAGGAGGGCAAAGGTTACCGCAGACGGCCTCTGATTGGCTCAAGCAGCCCTGACAGACAGCAGGTGTTTACATATAGAGCCATTGGACCGGGCCGGTCTCCTCCTCTCATTCAGAACCTCTGCAGCACAGGTGAGTCACTCGGATCCGACCTGCAGGTTATCGTGTTTTATCTGTTTACTGTGGGAGGAGTCCGGATGGGAAACGGCCCGATTCAGGAGGAACCAGAACTCTCTCTGGAGCAGGACACACTAAACTAACGTTTATTATATTTCTACATGATTCAGAGGATGAGTGATGAAGAAAATGCTTTAATAATTATTATTATAAACCCAGAGAGAATCATGTTTGATGTTAGAAGCTCCAGTTGGAGCAGATCGGTTCTGGTTCTGTGAGCAGAAAGTTCTGGTCCAGATCAGTGGGAGGATTTTAACAGGATTAAGAGGCTCAGCAGCTGAAGTCTGTTTACATGTTTTCCTCTTCATCTTAATTTCATTAACTACAGTAAACAGTTTATTATTTTACTAAAAAGTTCAACTGAAAACAGAAGCAATGATGGAAATCTGTTAATGTTCATCTGATGTTATTCAGTTATAAAGTAGATTATTTGACTAATTCTATAACATATTGTTTTTAAGTTATTTATTTTTTATTTTTTAAAGAAATGTGTTTACAGTTTTTTTTAACCAGTTTGAAGCTGCAGTGCATCATTTTGGCCGCTAGAGGGAGATAAAACTAAACCTGAAGATACTCAACTTCATGCTGACATGCTAACATGTATTTGGACTCAAACTTTACCGAACTGATGCAAACTGAGAATCTGCTGGATGTAAATGAGACATTGAAGGTCAAACCTGCTCCAGCCTGAAGGTCATGACATTTCTTTCTGTCTGCTTGTTCCTCAGTTCAGCTTTTCTCCATCTCCACCATCATGAGTCCAAAAAATGTCATTTTTAAGAAAACCTGCAAAGACAAGTCGGTGAGTGAAACAAACTAAAACAGGATCCATTGGATCCACTTCCTGTTTAGTTACAGATGGTTTTATCTCAGTGAAGACAGAAATGAACTCAGAGCTTCAGTCCTGCTCCACAGTGACATCATCTCAGAAATTAAACCGTTTAACCCTGAAAACATTTCCTGCTTTCTGTGGTGAAACTCCTGGAGGAGATGAAGGTTTGCAGCTGAGCAGCAGCTGCTGCTTTCTGAGGAGTTTCTACAGGAACTGAGGCTCAGCAGGTTGTTTCATCTGAATGACATCAGAAAACGATGCGAGTTTCACTTCTGCACCAAAGAGTTTTAAACATGCAGAAGAACAAGCAGCTGTTTGGGAGTTTCCACTCATGAAGGGAGTTTTATACCTGCTGTCCCAGATGTAATATTTTACTGTTTGAAAGGATAATAAAACCAAATAAACTGTGATTCCTGTATTAAAGTTTATATTTATGACTTAAATCAAAAATTACATCCAGAACTTCCCTTTAAACATTTTATCTGCTTAAAATATGAGTAACTCAAATTATTGTTTGTTACTGTCTGAATTGAATTGTCTGATAATAAAGTGGAATTTATTAATAAATCTTTTTCTGCTGGTGACTCTTTAGACACCAGATTTAAATAGATTTATTTCCTTAAATGTGTGAGTCAAAGCGTCGCAGTGACAAACGGCTGCTGGATGTTTCAGGTGGGCGTTTTCATGGGGAAGAGAGACTTCGTGGACCGGATGGACTCTGTGGATCCAGTGGGTCAGTCTCACAGCCGGATCCATCCGGAACCAGAAGAATCAGGAAACATTTCAGAACCAGAACCGCTGACCTGCTTTTTCCTGTTCCACCAACAGATGGCGTCGTCCTCATCGACCCGGAGGCCCTGGCTGGGAGGAAAGGTCTGGGAATGTTTTCCTCTCCTGATGGCCAAGAAATGAAAACATGATGGGAATATTTTAGTTTAGAGCCAAAATTCATCAGGAAAATCATTCAGGCCAAAACTATTCATACACCTGGGAAATTTAGAAATGTTTTCATTTTAACACGTTTCTTCTGACTGGGAATAAATAAATCTGATAGAAAATCTGTGATGGAGCATTAGGGTGATGGAAAAGAGGGCTTCCTTTCATCTTTAACAATAAATCATCAAAGATGATTTATCTTTGATTCTTTATCAAGGATAAATCATCAAAAGGAAAAGTGTAAAAATTTGCTCAGAAGAGAGAAAACATTTGATCTCTGTGATGGTCGGGAGATTTTTGTAATTTTTGCAATTTTCTTTTGTTTTAATAAATGCAAATGAAAACAGAAAAATGAAAAATAAAATAGATTTATTATGTTTTTGGAGATGTGAGTTTTGGTTCAATGAAAGTCATTTACAATCTAAATGTGCCAGGGGTATGAATACTTGTGGCCCTTGTTGTAAGAAGAAGGGCCGGTCCTCGGTTTTATGGGGCCCTGGGCAGAATGTGGTGCATTCTGGGAAAAGGGGTGGAGCTCAAACTCAATCACAGATCATTGGTTATGTATTAGTGAACAAACTGAGCAAAGAAAAGATGTTTACCATGGTAACACATTAGCCAATGGAGATCATTTTTTGTCAGCTCTTCTGCATCTAGTTGAAAATCTTTTATTACATGTCGCTGATCAGAACAGCTGCTTGTGCCTCTTCTGCCCTCTAGTGTTCGTCACCCTGTCCTGCATCTTCCGCTACGGCCGCGACGACATGGACGTGATCGGCATCGCGTTCCGCCGGGAGCTGTACCTGTCCACCCGCCAGGTGTACCCGCCGCTGCAGGACCGGGAGAAGGGCGTCCACACCAAGGTCCAGGCCAAGCTGCTGCGCAAGCTGGGCAACAACGCATACCCCTTCTTCTTCGAGGTGACCCGAGCAGCCAATCACAGTCAGCCTTCCTGCAGAGCCAGGAGAAACCTTCATTTGTTTTTCTTCCCAGTTTCCTGACAACCTGCCTTGCTCAGTGGCTCTCCAACCAGCACCCCATGACGTTGGGAAGGTGAGCCGCGTTTAATTCTGGATGACTTCAGTTTTGGTCCAGGTTCATTTCAGCTTCACACCAAAACTTGTGTGAACCAAACTGGCTCCAATCATCTGTTTTTATCCAGCGTTTACCTCCCTGCTCCAATATCTGTGTGTTTATTGATTATAGATATTAGAATAAAACACATCAGACAACAGAGACACGACTTCCTAACTTTATCAGAAAGTGTTCTGACTGAATGAAACCAGATTTATTTATGATGATGAAGACTTTAGCCATATTTTGGTAGAACTCTGATGCTGACTGTGTTCCTCCAAACCTCGGTCTGCGTGTGGAGCCCAGTCTGTCTTCTCTCTGTAACTCCACCCTCACATCGGCCGCTTCGGCCCAGATTTCCCCCACTGGCCGTCCCCCCAGGTCTCCCTTCAGTAAAAACCCAAACCGTCTCCGTTTCTGCAGCAATGTGCCGTGGAGTTTGAGATTAAAGCCTTCAGCGCTGAGAGTCAGGATGCGAAAGTTCGCAAACGGTGAGCGTCCTCTGTCCTGACGGCCGAAGCTGTCGGTGAGCAAATGCTGAACATCCGTTTGTCCGACAGGAGCACGGTGAAGCTGATGATCAGGAAGGTCCAGTACGCTCCAGACATGCAGGGGGCGCCACCTTCCGTTGAAACCACCAAAGACTTCGTCATGTCCGACAAACCGCTGCATGTCAAAGTCTCTCTGGACAAACAGGTGGAGCGTCTCACTGATTCTTTCATTTACAGTCAAACCTGTAATTCCTCAGATTTATTGTTTGATCTTAAATCATGTTTAGCTTTATTACCACGGAGAGACGATCCACGCTCACGTCAACATCACCAACAACTCCAACAAAAACATCAAGAACGTCGTCCTTTCAGGTACACACACCTGACTCTGATGATGACATCATCACGCTTTAATACAAACTCACCTGAATGTCTCTCTTCTCAGTTGACCAGGTTGCCACGGTGGTGCTGTACTCCAACGACAGCTACGTCAAATGTGTGGACATCGAGGATTCTGGGTAATAATTGGCAGAATCGCAGGGTTAGCAGTTTTGATCCAGATGATGGTTAGTTACAGGTTAATCAGCGAGTCTGATTTATTCAACTGTTAACAGTTAATTACCTGTTAATTAATTGTTTCTGTTCAGTTGATGTGTAATTAAGTTGATTTTACCATCATGCAGTTGAAACGCTGATCTGGTTTCAGGAAAGTCATTAATGTTTTAGAATAAATAAATGTTTTTACGGTTTTAGATGTTTTCTCTTCAGCTGATAAATATTTGGGATTTTTTTCTGCTTCATGTTTATTGAAGCACAAAACTATTTTAGCAGATTTTTGTTGTCAGTGAATTTCAGGAAAAATCCTCCAGCCTGGGCTTCTGAGAACCGACTGCAGGTCAAAGTGTGTAACGTCAATAGATGTCTGACTGGAAACATTTTCCTACAGGAAATAAAACCTGTAAAATGTAAACAATAGAAGCTGCTGTGTTTGTTTGGAGTTTGACTGAGGAACAAAAACTTCACATTTTTTTATTTGTTGTTGGATGAATTAAACAGATTTAATGTTTTTGCAGCCAAAACTCAAAAGAGAAAAGTCTTCCATCTGGTGGTTCATGCAGGAACTGCAACTGGTTTTTATTTTCTGTCCCAACATTTCTGGCTGAATGACTTAGTGAAGTTTATTCATTCAGATGTACGTCCTCATAAAGTGTTTTTAGAGACCAGAATGCCTTTTTGTTTTTTTCTCTTTATTTAACCTGCTTGTTGCTCCTGCTTGTTGCTCCTGCTTGTTGCTCTCTGTGTTTTCACGCTGCATCTCGTCTCCATCTCAGGGACTCGGTGTCTGCCGGCGCGACACTGCAGAAGGTCTACAAGCTGCTGCCGCTGCTGGCCAACAACCGAGAGAGGAGAGGCATCGCTCTGGACGGGAAGCTGAAGCACGAAGACACCAACCTGGCCTCGTCCAGCATGTGAGCCGCGCTCCACGCCAAAGCGCCGCCCCACTGAACTGGCAGCATCTGAACCGGCAGCATCTGAAACGTCTGTTCTGTTTCAGCGTGAAGGAAGGCGTCCTGAAGGAGGTTCTGGGAATCATGGTTTCATACAAAGTCATGGTGAAGCTCATCATCGGAGGGTTGGTCCATTTTCCTCTGATTTTCCTACAACGATCAAAATCACATCAACCTTTCAGATCATCAGATGTTAGAGAAATCTTCATCCAATTCAGTTTATTGCACCACAAAATCCAAAACAGTCAGGAAGTGGCAGCATCATGTCAGCGCTCCTCCAGGAAGTAACCTCAGCCAATCAGAACGCTGGACCAGGTGAAGAGAAAAAACCTGAGAAAACAAAATGTTTTGAGTTTAAAGGAGATTAATGAGAAGGAAAACTGATGTGAATGAGAAAACAGAAGAATCTGAAAAGCTTTCATTGCTTCAGATTCACTGAGGTTTTTATTGGAGCTCAGATTAAACGTTTCACTGTTTCCATATCAGGATGAAATGACGGATCGGAGCCTCAGCGGCTCTTTGGCTTCTGTTTCCTCTGAAGCGTTTCTGCTGTGATCTGATCTCATGTTTGTCTCCCTCTGCTGGCAGGATGATGGGATCCAGGTGAGTTCAGACTCTGGAAACATCATGAATGTTGGACTCGGCCTGTTTATCCTGAGTCTGGTGTGTGGTGTGTGGTGTGTGTGTGTGTGTGTGTGTGTGTGTGTGTGTGTTGCAGTGAGGTCGGCCTGGAGGTTCCCTTCACACTCATGCATCCCAAACCAGAAGCAGGTAGAACTTTCTCTGCTCCTGATCTCTCCGGTCCATCGGACCTCCTTCCGTCTTTCACCTCCTTTTCTCTCCACTTTGATTTTCTTGCTGCCTGCAGTGAAGGAGAGGTAACTATGACAGCAACTAAAGACACTTCCTGTTCTCATTGATCAGATTCTTCCCTCTGCTGCACGGTTCCTTTTCCTCTTGGTTTTGTTCGTCATCTCTTCTGATCCGGTTGAACAGGAAGCTCCTGCCGCCATGTTGGTGGCGACACCTGGGCGCCCAACGTGTTTGTTTTTGTTTTCTTTAATGTCAGATGAGATGCAGGTTGAGTTCATGGAATAGTTTGCAGCTTTAACACAAACATGAGAGAACATTGACAGATCAGTTAGGAATCATGTTGGGTTACGGTGGGAGTCTTGAGTTTTGTCCTGAGTCCGTTTCCGTCTCTGGGGGTTTTGCTCTGACTCTGATGCTCCTGCTGTTCCCAGTGAGGCGGAGGATGAGTTGGTGTTCCAGGAGTTCAAACGCTCCTACCTGAAGGGAATCATCGGCGCCGGCGAGGATGACGATGAGGAAGGCAACGTGTCGGGCGGAGACGACATGGCGCCCAAGGAGAAGTAGAGAAGCCGACGTGTGACATCACCGCTTTAATCCCATGTTTTAATCCCTGCAGCTCAGAGATGTTAGTTACCATAGAAACGAGCTGCAGCTTCGAGTCGAACTGAAACGTTCAGAGTTTGAACAATAAAAACTGTTGGACTCCATCTTAGATCTGATTTCATCTGATTTTATTACATGAATTCATAAACTGACACTAATGACAATAAACACAGAATATACCTGAAAATAAACATCGTCTGTTACAATGGATTAAAATGTTTAGATACTTAAATAGCAGATTATCAGATTAGCATAAGCTAAAGCTAATGTTAGCAACAAAGTTTAAAGAAAATAAAACTCACCTTCATATCTGTGACTTTATAACAAAATGAACAAATTAAAACCGTTTTATCACTTAGAGGCGGAGCTTCAATGTTCATCATGTTGGACGATCTCTGCAAGCCGTCCGTCCACACACACACACACACACACACACACACACACACACACACACACACACACACACACACACACACACACACACACACACACACACTAAAACACACACACACACACACACACACACACACTAAAACACACACACTCACACAAACAAACACACACACACACTAAAACACACACACACTCACTAAAACACACACACACACTAAAACACACACACACTAAAACACACACTCACTAAAACACACACACACACAAACACACACACACACTAAAACACACACACTCACTAAAACACACACACACACTCAGGAAGCCGGAGTACCCAGACAGAACCCAGAAAGACCCAGAATTGAACCCAGAACCTTCTTGCTGCAAGGCATCAGTGCCACCAACGGCTCAGCGGCTCGTCATTATAGACCGGAAACGACCTAATGAGCAAAGAGCCGATTGGCTGGCGATTGAAAAGCAGCCAATCCAAGACCTCCATTTATTTTACTTGCTGCTGATTGGCTGAACCCCCAAAACCAGATAAAGATGTAGAAAAATGATAATTCATGAGAGTCCAGATGTCTGTGAGACGCCATGAATAGTTTGCTACTGTGGCAGGTTTAGATAAACTCAACTGGACCGGACCAGACTGGACCGGACTGGATCACACTGGATCAGACTGGACTGGGTCGGACCGGTTCAGACCAGACCGGGTCAGATCGTACCGGACCGGATCAACTGACGACTCCTTAATCAGAGAACATGTGAAGTTTTTTTTACGTTAACAGGACATCAGGATGTTAGCTTCTCTGCTAGCGCTAAGACGTTTCCACTCTATGTATTAAATAATTCATTATATCTGGAGTTAAATGATGCTTTTGAAGGCGGTCTGATTATCTGTGAATATTAGCTGTAAGCTGACCCGTTTGACCCGTCAGTTTCTGGACTCTTGGTTCTGGACACAGATCTGGAGCAAAACTCCATCGATTTTGAAAACGTGTCTGGAGTCACAACCTGAAAAACATTCCCAGGATCTCTGGACGAATGTGGAGCTTCGTTTGAATAAAGACACAGAACTGCAGCATTTTGGATTCGTCTGATTTACTTCAGTCATGAAAAACGTTCCTCTGTTGTTTCACCTGGAAACTCATCAATCGCTGCAACAAGAGACTCAAACATCTGATCAGTGAGTCAAAGGAAAAAATCTCCAGTTTTCCAACCAGTTTGTCGTTTGTCTCTGAACACGGAGTATAAAACGAGACGGTCGCCTTCCAGAACTGGAGTTAATCAAAATGACATAAATTTATCCATAAACACAAACTTACAGGACGCACTTCAGTTATTGTCTGAAAAACAACGTGGAAGCTTCTGCTCTGCTTTTATTCATGCATCATTTTAAAAGGCAAATATTCCTAATATTCCTAAGGAAATAAACAGATTTTAATAATTAAAAGCAATCAACTCTACGGTTGCAAAGTGCTTTGGAAATATTTCATGTTGGAGCAAAGCTGAGCTTCTACACCCGACTGAGAGGTCAGAGGTCAGACGCAGTGTTGAATCAGATATGAGTTTTTCTGGACGTTTCAAAGGAGGAGAATTTGTTTTAATCGTTTCTTCATCTTCATGGAGATTCAGAAACTTATTGGATTTATCACTTATGAAAAGGAAACAAACTGGATTACAATCAGATTATTTAACTTTCATCCGTCTGTGACTCAGTGAAGCTCATATTTAATCAGACCAAACAATAACTCGCCTGATCAGCTGCTAAACCCAAAATATCAGCCGTTCATGTTACAACATGGTTCTTTATTCAAAACATCAATGTCACATCTTTCCATGTTTGCTTAATTTGTTGATGAATTAGTGTGGACATTATCAGAACCACATCCAGGAGAGATGAAATGAGCATAAAGTCGTGTTTTAAATGTGATCTACTGCAGGCCATCGGGTCGGTACCAGCCTCATTCTGCAAACGCTCCTCCTTTAAAATGTGCAGCACTGAATTTGATTGGCTGTCTGCGTCTGAACACCTGTCGCTGGCGGAGCTTAAGGCGGCGAGGTGGTGGGATGGCCGCCCGGACCGTCCCAGGAGTAGCCACCAGAGGGCGGCAGAGGGCTGAAGAACCGGCCCAGCGGCATCTCGCAGGAGTCGGGATGCAGCAGGAAACCGGAGAACGTGCTTTTGCTTTCGGCGTCGGTGGGACATGCCGTTGGTCAGCGAGTCCTTCACCTGCAGCCACAGCTGGTCTCCTCTGCTCAGGTGCAGGACGACCGTGTGGCTGGCGGTGGCCTGGCTCGACGCCTCCGTTACCCTGGCAACCGGGTAGAAGTTTCGGAACAGGCCGACCTTCAGCGGCTTCTGATTGGTCGCCAGGTGGAAGGAGAAAACGTAGGTGCCGTTGATGGGCGCCGTGTACATGCCCATGTTCGGGTTGAAGTGGCCCTGCTCGTTGGTCAGGACGTTAGGGAACGCAACCGGCCAGTTGGCGGCGGGGAACGACTGGTTGATGCAGGCGGAGAAAGCCGATTGGATGGCCGGGGAGCAGGGCCCGGGCGGACCCATGAGACCCATGTTACCCTGATCTCCCTTCAAACCTATGGGGCCCTGAATGCCTTGTGCACCAGCGTCACCTTTGTCTCCTTTGCTGCCCTTTTCCCCCGGCACCCCGTTGGCGCCGTCCGCCCCATCGGTGCACTGACAGATCCCCTGCTCACCCTGATCTCCCTTCTGACCATTCACACCAGGCTGCCCAGCCACTCCTGTGTCTCCCTTATCGCCCTTCACACCTGTGGCTCCCACAATGCCCTGCACCCCGGGCAGGCCCCGGGCCCCGGCGGGCCCCGGGGGCCCCGGCAGACCCGGTGCACCTGGGGTGCTGTCGCAGGAGGCGGGGCAGGTGCCCATCTCTCCCTGGGGTCCCTGAGCACCCGGAGGTCCGCTCAGGCCCTGGTCTCCTTTCTCCCCTGCAGAAACACAGATCAAGCATCGATCATGTGGAGAAACATTAAAATCATTTTTCTGAGTCGATCTGTTCTGATCTCAGACCTTTGAATCCTCGATCGCCCTTCGTTCCGGTGAATCCAGCCGGACCCGTCTGGCCTTTCTCTCCTGAATCTCCTTTCTGACCTGAAGAGCAAATGAAGGATGATGAAGAAGCTCCGCCTGCAGACTCTCTGCTGATGTGTTTCGGTTTTACATGTGACGACAGAAAGGTTGGTCTGAGTCTCACCCTTTATGCCCTGGGGGCCCGTGAATCCCCGGTAGCCTTTGAATCCCATCATCCCTCTCAATCCAGGACTTCCAGGTTCACCTGATCAAAGAGAGAATCATCTGAACTGATCAATATTGATCAATATTGAACTGATCAGAAACAGTTAAACATGTAGAGAAACCAGCAGAGATGAAACGATCAGGACTCAGAACCAGTGAGGAGTTTCAGTTACTGGAGCGGAAAACATTCCTTTAGATGAAGTTTTTCATTTAACCTTATTTCAAACATTTTGAGGTTTTGTTGCTCTTGTGTTTGACTGACCTGCAGCTACGTCACTGAATGACGAATAAAAACCCAGAATGCACCAGAACAGTGAGACGTTTCAATGGTCTTTGTTCTAATCAGTTTCTGCTGAATCTGCAGAAAATGATGGAAGTTCATTGTCTTCATACTGACTGGAAGTATTGGGTTCCAAGGTTTAACCCTTTGGAAACATGAAGTGTTCCTTCTGTCTGAATTTGTCAATTTTATTGATAATTAATATTTTGTTATGTTTATATCTTGTCTGTATAATAAAATCATTTTCCCAAATTAAGATTCAGATTAAATTGTCCCATTTCCGCCTTTGGGTCAACTAGACTGACCTCTGGAAGGGGAGCAAACTGGACAAACTTGGCTGAATCTGGCCCAACAGCAAAGCAGTTCCAGTCCAATCACTGGTTTGTGTAAAATGTGCATCAACTGGCATTTTTGGGCCAGAAGACCAAACGCTTTGAGCTTCAGACAAAACTGATCTCAGGTTCACATAAACTCTTTAAGAAGTGAAGAATACTGAGATCTTTTGATAAAATCAGCGTTTGAAGGTTTGTGTGATCCCACCTGGAGGCCCCCGGTCTCCACGGTCTCCTTTGGGCCCCACGGTTCCTTTGCAGTAGGAGCAGACGCAGAAGAAGGGGATCTGGTCGATGGACGGCGGCACCGGCTGGCTGAACAGAATGTCACAGATGGAAGTGTCTGGTTGTGGAACCAGAGGCAAGCTGGTGGCCAACATCCGCTGCCCGTTAGCGAAGTTGGTCATGTTCCCGCTGGGGGGCCAGAGGGGCCCGCCGCGGGCCTCCAACGGCCACTCGGGGTCTGGAACCGCAGTGTGATCCTTGCCGGTTTCAGGCCAGCGTAAGGTGTTGGGGTCGTATGAAGAGCCTTCTTCTTCTGATTGTCCCTTTTGGATCAGGTTCCTGGTCATGTTCGGGAGCAACATGGCGGAACAGGCGGAGAGCAGGACCAAGAGTCCCAGAACGCTGGAGAACATCTGGAGGAAGACCAGGTTAGTCGCTCACCGTTCCTCTCATTCGACGCCTGAATTTGGTTTCAACTCACCTTCCTGTCCCGGTTGGACATCGTCGTCTCCTGCAGGCCGTTTAGGAAGATGAGCTGCATGAACGCGGCTTTGATGCATTTATAAGCGTCGCCCAGAACAAAACAGCTTTCAGGTTCTGTCTCACCTGTTGGGCCCGGAGACAAAGGGCTGAGGAGGGGGACGGACGGTCCGCATTGTCCGGCTGAGGAGGAAGAACTTGGCTCTCCGCCCGCTGCGTGTCCTTCCTCATGAAACGCCAAACATTCACAGGCGAAAGAAGAGACTGGTTATCTCTCTCCATCACTCCTCCACCCTGTTCTTACAAAAGCAGCCTGTGACCTCGCTCCGCCGCTCTGCTTCCCCGCAGCCCTGGGATCGCATCCGCAGGTCAGAGGGAGGACGACTGGAACCCAGCAAACGTTACAGCACATAATCCTGATCCAGCAAATCCATCAGAACCAGAATATCTGCAGAACCAGAGAACCCAGAGCTCACACACTTTCAATCTGATGTGTTTTAAATGTTGAAAACTTTTACCAGTTTTCAACTGGAAATAATAAACTTGAATTTTAAAGAATCGCTAGCATTTTTAGTCATTTATCTATTTATTGAAATTTCTTTGGTCAAATCTGTGAAAAGCTTCTCACAGAAACCAGATTTTAACTTCCTGATTTTATATCCTGGTATATTTTCACCTGATTGACTCAAAATGTTTGTACAACAGATCAGAACCGGAGCGTGACGGATACGAAGAGGCCCAACAATACGGTAATCTGAACCCTGGACGTCACAATGAGCAGCCTACTTTCCTACTTTCCTACTTTCCTGTTTCCATTTATCGTGGGTTTTAGCGAAGAGGACAAAACGTGTCCTGGGATCATCATGACACTGATTACAGCAAAACAACTCAGATAAACAGTGACATCGATCAGATGTTCAGTTTGGATCGGGCTCAGATTTATGGAGCCAGAAAGCTGTGAAAAACAATATTTAGTTTGAAACTGAAAGAAAAAGATTTAAAACTAAAATCTAATTTTGAAACAAAAATTTAACTAAAAAAATATTAAACTGAAAAAAGTTTTAAAGGTTTCAACAAAGGTTCAGTTTCAAATATTTATTATTGATAAGTATTTTACTCCACAGCAGTTTTGCAACAGAAGAAATAACTGAAAAGCAATTTTAATTTAAAACACAAAACCTGAAATTAAAAGTTTTTCTGAGCTTCTCTTAGATTCGGATCTTGTTCGGTTTCTGTAGCTCCATTTGTCTCATAATTTAAATAAACAAACTATTTTGAAGCTTCTTGTTAATTATTTCATCACCAGGAACCAGAGAAGCTTCCTCTGCTTTTATTTTGAAAAGCCACCGTAAGCCGAGCCGACAGGAGACAAAAGAAGAAGAATGAAAAACCTGATAAGCGTCCTGGTTTCCAGAACCTCCCAGCGACGCCCTGGGCCGGCCCGGTTCCTCTGGCCTGGTTCCTTTAGCCTGGTTCCTCTGGCCCGGTTCCTCTAGCCCGGTTCCTCTGGCCCGGTTCCTCCGGCCCGGTTCCTCTGGCCCGGTTCCTCTGGCCCGGTTCCTCTAGCCCGGTTCCTCTGGCCCGGTTCCTCTAGCCCGGTTCCTCTGGCCCGGTTCCTCTGGCCCGGTTCCTCTGGCCCGGTTCCTCTGGCCCGGTTCCTGCTGCTGGTCGTCGGACCTGCAGACTGAAACGTTCAGAGTTTCACTTTTATTCTCTTTAACATTCAGATTCAATGGATGTGAAGGAGAACAAACGTTTACCTTCTCAAATGTTTTTTGGCACAGAAAGAAGTTAATTTTCTGTCTATGGCCTTTGACTAGGCCATAGACAAAGGCCATCTGTTTTCTGCTCACATTAGAAGCAAAAGTAGATTTTTAGTTTTTGCTTCAGGCTCTTTAATTCTTTTTGCATCTCGTCTCTCATGAAGGTCCGAGGGCCTCAAATGGCCCCCGGACCTCAGCTTGAACAACCCTGCTGCTTTCCTTCACAGCTCAGTCTGATCAAGCACAGGGCGACTGTGGGAGGGAAGGACTTTCACTCCGTTTGTGATTTTATTCCTGATTCATTGAGTTGGACAGTAACTGAGGATCAGAATCGTCCTGGTTCTGATCCACTTATCGGCCTGAGAGGTGAGTGGGCGGAGGTCAAAGGTGAGGCTGTGTGTTGACAGGCTGAGCTGCAGACTGTGGACTCTCTGTCAACACGGCTGGTCACTCATTAACGCAGCGGCGGCCGACTGGACCAGCGTCTCAGCCTCAGCGCCGCTTCTTCATATGTAAGTATAAAAACTGGTTCTGCCTCTGGAAGCAGCCACTTCCTGCTTCCTGCTTCCTGCTTCCTGCGTCTTGGCCTAAAGATGAGCTGATGGAGCTCAGATTCTGTGGACGGACCGAGTCCAGAGACTCTGGGCCTCCAGGCGACGCAGATCAACGTGCCAGTGACGCTCCGAACGTTTCACATCCAGGATGATCGTCGCTCCGATCGTCTCATCGACTTCTGGTGTCTGCAGGTCTGATGGAGACCGTGACCCGCTCCGTGTTCGGCCTGCTGGTCTGCGCCGCTCTGTGGGCGGCTTCAGCCCTCAGCCTGTCAGGTGGGATTAGATAAGATCCTTTAGACACAAGGAAAAACTATGAGAGGGAAAACCTCTGGAGGAAAAACCTCTGGAGGAAAAACCTCTGGAGGAAAAACCTCTGGAGGAAAAACCTCTGGAGGAAAAACCTCTGGAGGAAATCTTCTCCTGTGATCTGAACGCAGGGCGACACGAACATCTTGATGTTTCTGATGAAAATGTTCAGGGTTTCATCGTTTCTCAGGGAAATAATAAACATATCTGAGGCGATTGGCCCGATGCGTTGAATAGGACAGAGCAGATTCTGGTTCTGATCCGTTCAGAGACAGAACTGACAGAACTGCTGCTGGTGGACAGAAGATCCCAAAGTTTACAGACAAACTGCGAAATAAATGTCACAAGAGAAACATTTGATTTTAAATTCTTTTCTGCTTTTTATTATTATATTGAAAAGAAAACTGTTATTTTATCTCAATATAATGTCATATTGTTGTATAATTTTTGTTCATCGTGACTTATAAAGTGGGACATTATTATTATTATTGTTATTATTATTATTATTGTCATTATTGTTACACATTAATTTCCTGATATAAAACACTAATTATTTATATTTTATTTCCCAGAGATTTTGAAATCATCAGTTTCTTGGTAACATGTCTGAAGTTTATAACTTCATAGAGAAGAAATATTTTAAATGCATTAAAATCTAAATTCTATAATTAAACAGAATGAACCGGTCCGGTCCGGTCCGGTCCAATCCGGTCCGGTCCGGTTCTTTTCTGTTCAACAGAAATCCAGTTAATAGACCTGATCCTGTTAAAAACCCGAGCAGAGGAAAATGTAAACGGTTTGTTTCTGTCTGCATGTCTCTGTGTGTGTGTGTGTGTGTGTGTGTGTGTGTGTGTGTGTGTGTGTGTGTATCTGTGTGTGTGTGTGTATGTGTGTATCTGTGTGTGTGTGTGTATGTGTGTGTGTGTGGGTGTGTATGTGTGTATCTGTGTGTGTATCTGTGTGTGTGTGTGTATGTGTGTATCTGTGTGTGTGTATGTGTGTATCTGTGTGTGTGTGTGTGTGGGTGTGTATTTGTGTATCTGTGTGTATCTCTGTGTGTGTGTGTGTATGTGTGGGTGTGTGTGTGCGTGTGTGTGTATCTGTGTGTGGGTGTGTGTATCTGTGTGTGTGTGTGTATCTGTGTGTGTGTGTGTGTGTGTGTCTGTGTGTGGTGTGTATCTGTGTGTGTGTGTGTGTATCTGTATCTGTGTGTGTATCTCTGTGTGTGTGTGTGTATCTGTGTGTGTGTATCTCTGTGTGTGTGTGTGTATGTGTGTGTGTGTGTGTGTGTGTGTGTGTGTATCTGTATCTGTGTGTGTATCTCTGTGTGTGTGTGTGTATATCTATGTGTGTATCTCTGTGTGTGTGTGTATCTGTGTGTGTGTGTGTGTATCTATGTGTGTATCTCTGTGTGTGTGTGTGTATCTGTGTGTGTGTGTGTATCTGTGTGTGTGTGTGTATCTGTGTGTGTGTGTGTGTGTGTATCTGTGTGTGTATCTGTATCTGTGTGTGTGTATCTGTGTGTGTGTGTATCTGTGTGTGTGTGTGTATCTGTGTGTGTGTGTGTGTGTATCTGTGTGTGTGTGTGTGTATCTCTGTGTGTGTATCTGTGTGTGTATCTGTGTGTGTATCTGTATCTGTGTGTCTATGTGTGTATCTCTGTGTGTGTATCTGTGTGTGTATCTGTGTGTGTATCTGTATCTGTGTGTGTGTGTCCAGTGTTCTCCGACCCGGACTCGGCCCACATGCTGCTCCGGTCCCGCCGGGCCAACAGCTTCCTGGAGGAGCTGAAGCCGCCGTCCATGGAGCGCGAATGTGTGGAGGAGAAATGTGACTTTGAGGAGGCCAGAGAGATTCTCCAGACCCGGGAGGCGACAGTAAGTTATGTTCCCAGTAAAACTGGTTTCACTGGGAACATCAAAACTTTACATTCTCATCCTTCATCATTTCCACCAACCAGAAGTTTCTATCTGTGAAACTGTTTAGTGTTGAGAAGATTTTCATCGTTCAGATCAAACGTTTCAGATTTTATTGATCCTTAAGCTTAAAATGAACAAAGTAACCAAAATAAGAACAAGAATCAAATATGAACTGAACCTTTCTGCACACATTTAAATTCATGATGGAGAATCATGAAGGAATCATAAAAGGAGTTTTATTCTGATTCACCTCCAGCTGAACGACCAGAAACCGTTTCAGATCTTAACTCTGATGTGTTGCTGTTTGTCTTGCAGCTGGATTTCTGGACCGTTTACACCGGTGAGTCACTTCCACACCGACAGCTTTCAGAAAAAGATCCGGAAAAAGATCCGGAAATTATCAGCAACAATGTAAAAACAAACTGGATAAAAATCAAGAACAGAATCCTGATGGAAAATGTTGCAGAGTTTTTGATTTTCTTTGATTTCTAGCAGAAAAACCGGCAGGTCTGACATACGACTGTCACTGGAGATGAATTATTAAAAAACAATAACTGACATCAACTTGCATGAAGCAGAAAACGTCTGCAGCGGCGGTCTCTACTGTCCAGACTTCGTCTGTCCGGTCTCTGACTATCCGGTCCGGTCCGGTCCGGTCCGGTCCGGTCCGGTCCGGTCCGGTCCGGTCTGTGTTTCAGATGGGAACCAGTGTGAGTCCCATAGTTGTATCCATGGCGACTGCATGGACCAGTACCAGGACTACAAGTGCCTCTGTTACCATGGATACGAGGGCAGATACTGCCAACACAGTGAGTTTGACCTTCGGGTCAAAACCACGATGAGGGTCCAGGTCAGGATACCGGTACCAGTTTAGACCCGGTTCTAATGCGGACATGATCATCTATAACCATGTTATAACAAAAAGACAAATTAACCCAAAACCAAACATTGATTTACGATGCTTTAAGCTCCCAATAAAATCTAGACTCTGTCCAGATGTAACAGCCACAAACTGCTCTGTGGACAACGGCGACTGCGACCACGAATGCTCAGAGAGCGAAGACGGCGCGCGGCGGCGCTGCAGCTGCCTGGACGGATACAAGCTGGACGACGACTCCAGGAAATGCAGCCCCAAAAGTGAGAGCGTCAGCCGGCTGCGTTACGGAGGGAAAGGCTCCGATGACACTTTAATGCAACACTTTGAGAGTTTGAACTGATGCAATACATGCTACCCACCAGTAGGTGGAGAAACATCCTGAGCACGACTAAAAGCTGTGCAAGGCTAAAGCTGTGCTAGGCTAAAGCTATGCTAGGCTAAAGCTGTACTAGGCTAAAGCTGTGCTAGGCTAAAGCTGTGCTAGGCTAAAGCTGTGCTAGGCTAAAGCTGTACTAGGCTAAAGCTGTGCTAGGCTAAAGCTGTGCTAGGCTAAAGCTGTACTAAGCTAAAGCTGTATTAGGCTAAAGCTGTGCTAGGCTAAAGCTGTGCTAGGCTAAAGATGGATTTGACCTTCGACTTTAATGTTACAACTCTGACATCACAATGATGTCACACCCATGTTAACCTTGTTCCAGTTGCAAACTGGGAACCAGTTGAAGGTAAACCGTACCACCGAGTGCAAATCACAAGTTTATCTCTCCTCCTCCTTTTGAGCTAAAAGGTCAAAAATATAATATTTTAGGTCAAGATTTTTGCTTCGGGTTCTGAAGTTGATTTTTACCAACTTAAAAATCATAAAATTCCAACTTTGAAGTAGAACACGAATGCAGCATTTTAACTGAACAAAGCCATAGAGACGAAGCATGAACTGGCCTGGATTCCTGCTAACATGCTAACATGCTAACTGGTTTCCTGCTGGTGCTGCAGGTGCCTCGTCTTGTGGTCAGATTCTGATCAGCAGGTCGGAGTACAGCGAGCCGGTGGACGGCCTGCTGCCCTGGACGATCGGAGGGGAGGTGGGCAAGAAGGGCGAGAGTCCCTGGCAGGTAACTGGGAACCAGTATGACTTCCACAGGGAAACACTCAGCAGACACTTCACCTTTAACCAGAATGTGAAAAAAAGAGATTTTACTTCAGGTTTTTATCGTTCTACCTCAAACATGAAACCATCAGATTAATAACTCATTCTCAGCCCTGGAGTGGAAAATCTGCTGATTTTAGAGCCTCGTATTTTGAAGGCCTGATCTTCCAGCAGACCACAGGAACTGGTCTGCTGGCGATCTCTGCAGCTCCACATCAACACGTCATCGTCTGCAGAAATGAGAGGAACCCAAACCTGTCCAAACTGACAGCTTTGACTGTAGTTACTGGACAAACTGAAACCGGATGGCTTTGCTCCACTGGAAGGGATTACATGTATGACATTGAAGAGAACCAAGAAGTCTCAATGGAGACATTATGTCTCAGGAATGTTTCACTGCAGGAAACATTCCTGAACTTAAAACGGGTTTTCAGGATCGGTGGAGCAGAACCTCCACTGAAGCTCCGCCCATCGTTACAGACGATGATGAAGACGGAGCTGAACGCGATGAAGAGTTCAAATCATTCTGATTGGCAAACAAACAGAAAATTATTTCAAACAGGTAATGTTTTAGTCAGATTGAGTAAAGGTCAAACTGTTAACACTGAGCTCTTATTTTGGATTCATTTAAAAAACACAGATATTGGGTTTGCTGTAACTTTGCTCAGTTACCAACAAACAATCTGCAAATTGACGTCAGATTTGGTTCAAGATGAACTAATGAAAGTAATGAGAGCTGCATGTTTCAGCAGTGTGTTAATATTTCATGCATTTTTGCCGTCCAGGTTCTGGTGCTGAATGCCAGGGCAGTTTTCACTGCGGAGGGGTTCTGATCGATGAGAAACTGGGTCCTGACTGCTGCACACTGCCTTGAAGACAGCTTCAGGTTCAGCGTACGGCTGGGTGAGCGCGCCGTCTGCAGACACAAAATGATACTGGAGTATTTGTTTTATTTCATCTTTTATTCACAGCGCAGCAGGTTTCATATTTCATTTCATCCTTTCATCAACTTGGGAAAAACTTGAGTCATGTAGCAGAAACTGAAAACGTTGAGCTGCTGCTTCTGCTGTCTTGGTATTGAAGATCTGGTTCTATAGATCTACATCTATTAGTGCATGAACACTGAGATCAGTGGTGTGGACTCAGTGTGTTCTGCTGAGTCATGACTGGGGATGACTCAGCATCCTGTGGTTTCATTATTGTTATTTTTCATATTTAAGTGTCTATCTGGGCCTTAAACTTGAATGATCTATGAATGATCCAGAGTGATCAGATGAGGATGAAGAGAGTAAAACCAGCAGCAAGCAAAGACATAATGGCAAAAGTTTCACTTTCAGTTTCAAGCATTTGTCACCCTGAAGTGAGTAAAGCCTCAGTAAAGCATAGAGAGTCATTGAGCTGAAGTTGTGGCGGTTCTGGTCCAGGAGTGGATAAATAGAAATGTTTCCAACCTCTGCCTGATTTATCAGACAATAAATCTCTGATTCTCCAGGTTTAGATCTGCAGCTCGGCATTGTGGGAGAGGCAGTTTCTCTTTCACAATAATGTGACAGCAGTGTTAAAAATGTAGCAGCTTATCATGACCTTGACCTTTTCACTCAGGTGACTACGAGCGAACGAGAAATGAAGGCACCGAGGTTTTGCTTAGAGTCGCAAAAACTTTCAAACATCCCAAGTACAACTCCAGGACGGTGGACAACGACATCGCCCTGATGCGCCTGCAGTCGCCCGCCCCGTTCTCCAAATACATCGTCCCCGCCTGCTTACCTGGCCGCGCCTTGGCCGAGAAGGTGCTGCACCTGAACGGCACCACCACTGTGGTGACAGGCTGGGGTAAAAACGACAGCGGGAAGCACAGCTCGGCGCTCAACGTCATCAAAATCCCGCTGGTTAATCACAGCTTTTGCGTGCAGCAGATGTTTCCCCATGAAATCACCAACAACGTCCTCTGTGCCGGGATCCTGGGTCAGAAGATCGATGCCTGCGAGGGCGACAGCGGGGGCCGATGGTCACTCTGTACCGGACACCTGGTTCCTGGTGGGCCTGGTGTCCTGGGGCGAGCGCTGCGGCATGGTGGACAAGCTGGGCATCTACACCAAGGTGTCCAACTACAACGAGTGGATTGCTCAAGTACAGGAGGAATGGAACCGAGGACATCATCCTCAGTAAGAGCAACCCGCCTGCTCCGTCAAACCACAGCATCCACTCAGAGCATCAGCGCTGGTGGAAAACGTTTTGTTAAATAAACCTGGTAACTCGAGAGAGTGTGTCTGTTTAATCACCACTGACCTTCGTACTGCAGGTCAATAACCAGACATGTTGAGCTTTCCTCAACCCGACTCTTCAGAAGCATCTGGACGTGTTCCATCTCTTCATCTACCGTCCAAAATAAATGGAAAACCGAGATGTTTTAACGCAGATTATTTGGGTCTCATCTCTCAGACCACTGGACACATTTAACGTCTTTGGGGAAAATAATTCAGCTTTGAAATGAACTGAATTAGATAAATAAAGTGACAACAGTTTGGTCTTCCCACGCTCTCCTGGGCCGTTTATCATTTTAGTGTGAAAACAAACATTAAATGTGATCATCATCATCATCATCATCATCATCATCATCATCATCATCATCATCATCATCATCATCATCATCATCATCACTACAACAAGCAACAAACTATAAAATGATTACAGTGATCAGCTCACAATGCAGAACTGTTTATTATATTCCTCTAGTTAAAACTCAGTTTCTTAAAGGGACAGTCAGGTAATAAATTCACTTGAGGCATTTACTAAAATGTTCTGAACACAGTTTGAAGGAGATATGATGGTAAATTCAATCTGAGTAAAGATGGACCTGAGATACAGAACATCAGCGTCAGAACGAACATTAATATCACCAGAATATGAACTTTAATAAACTCAGCGAGTTTATTAAACCTCGTCCACATTTAAACAACTTCTGACTAGTTACAACAGTTACAACCTTCATATTTAACACCATGGAGTTCTGCTGACCTGAGATTTTATTCATTATAATACTGGAACCGGATGCTGACTCAGCAAAACATTTCTCTCTAAAACGATCCTCTAGTCGCCTGGATTTGAATTTGTGCTTTTGATTAAATGTTTGAAAAACAGAAACAAGTTTCAGGTCAAATATTTGAACCAGTTCAAGACGTCAAAAAAACACTTTTTATTTAGACTTGAGAAAATGGATTTATTGCTTTTTCCTTTGATAAAACAAAAGGTATTAAATGGTTTTTAATTAAGAGCAGAAATAAATGAAGTTTGTCATTTAAATCTTTTGATTTAAATTTCATTTCAATAATAAATTATTGAACTCTTTGAAATCCAATTTGCTGATTCGTCAAAACTTCACTTTCACATTCAGTCACTTTTCACTCCGATCATTAAATCAGTAAATAAATAAAATTCTTAACAGATTGTTTTACTTGTTTTTTTATGGGTTTAGTTTTCTAAAGTTGAAACTCTGAATGTTATAATGTTCTCCACATATTTTACTTTATACAATTTAAACACTATTTATGTATTTCTGAGTCACTATTAACTGTTAATGTTTCTACTTCCTCAATATTTACTCTCAACTCTAATCTCTTAGTTTAGTGACTGATGGTTGTTTGATTTCAGTGTTTTGTTCCAGTTTGCCTCAAACTACAATCTAAACACTTTCAGTTTTCAGCAGCTTCATCAGGACGCTCCCCTCCTCTTCCTCAGCTCCTCCTCGTATCGCTGCAGCTGAGACATGAAGCCGGGGTTCGGATCCACGACGTGCCGCGCCGTCTTCACCCTCTGGGAGGAAACGACAACAATCAGAACCGAGGTTCTGTCCGGCCGCCGGATCCGGTTCCAGACAGACCCGGTTCCAGACCGAACCGGTTCCAGACCGACCCGGTTCCAGACCGACCCGGTTCCAAACAGACCCGGTTCCAGACCGACCCGGTTCCAGACCGACCCGGTTCCAGACTGAACCGGTTCCAAACAGACCCGGTTCCAGACTGACCTGGTTCCAGACTGAACCGGTTCCACACCGGTCCAGTTCCAGACCGGTCCGGTTCCAGACGCCTGAAGGAGGATGCTACCCTCTGCTGTCGGTTCAGATAAATCACTGATCTAAAATAAACACTTTAAACTGCAGGAGCAGGAAAATGTTTCACTGAAACGTTTTATTCAGTGAAACGTTGGTTGTTTTTCTCAACTAAAATTATTTTAGTTGAGAAAAACAACTAAAACTGAACAGAATGAAGAAATATAACCAAAAAGAGGCAGAGAGGTTTCTGCTCCAATCAGATCAATATGGAAGTTCACAAATCAAATCAAACAGGAATAGAAATAGCCTCTATTGTCTCAAAGAGGAGAAATTCATCTTTAGCAGCAGCATCAGATATAAATGCAGCAGCATAATTAAAGTTATTCAGGTTTTTATTTTACTGTTTTATATTTTTTCTGATTTCTTTGCATCACCTCAGTTATTCTTTCTTTATTAATGTAATTATTGATCAATCATTTTAACGCTCTTCCGCTTTAAATATTAAAAAGTGAAAATGATCCAAGACTGTTATTGTAATAAACTGATAAACTGGAGATCAGCAGATTATTAAATATTCCTCCTTTGGTCCTGATGGTTGAGTCGGATGAGCTCCTTCCCATCACCCTAAGTTTCCTTCATAGATTCAGAGTATCAACGCTGCTTCATCAGAATAAAACAGAAACATCATTTCATGAGGATCATTTTGAACCCAGTGACCTCTGAACCCAGTGACCTCTGAACCCAGTGTCCTCTGAACCCAGTGACCTCTGAACCCAGTGACCTCTGAACCTCAGACGTCAGCAGGCATTTATTCCGTCTGCCGGGTCCAAAGTCACCCTGGACATTGAAACCTTCGGTTCTGCTGAGCAGACGGATCCGCTCAGCGCCGGTTCTGTCTGATCCTGTTACAGATGCTGGTTCTGACCCGGAGTTTACAAATATGAGCTCAGAGGGAATTTAATGTGTCTGTTCAATATAAAGAAGGTCAAAGGTCACTGTTGAACATCTGCATCACATGGTTCAGTCCGGGGCTGTAATTGGTCCTTTGTTTGGGCCGAAGCCGAACCGGACCCGGTTCTGCTGCTTCCCTGAGAAAATCTGACCGTATGCAGATGACTGTGTGATTTCTGTTGGTTCCGGTTCTTCTGGGACCAGAACCGAGCTGGACATGGTTCATTAGAAGCAACATTTCCTGCCAACATGTTTCACGTTATGATGAACGGGGAACCGGGTCACCTGTAAGGCCTCCGCCAGCGTCAGCCTGCGGTGCTTCATCAGGTAGGCCGTGCAGATGGCGGCCGAGCGGCTGCGCCCGTTCTTGCAGTAGACCACGCTGCGCCCGCCGCGGTCGGCCTCCTTCTGGATGGCGTCGGCGCAGCGATCAAAGTGGCGGTACAGATCCTCGGCGGGGTCGTCGTAGACGGGGATCTGCATCCTGGTGACGCCGCTGCTGGTCGGGAACGGCTGCTGCTTGGACACGTTGATGCAGAGCGTCACCGCCTCCTGCTGGATGAGGTCGTCGCTGCAGGCTGAGCGGGCGTTGCTGATGAACAGAGCCTTGGTGACTTTACACAGCTGCAGCATCCTGACTGACCCTCTGAGGCCTCCGTACTAAACCTCAGCGTTTACCGAAGCTTCCTGGTCAGAAGGAGAAAAAGTTTAACTAAATGACAAAGATTTTATCCAACATCTGCACTAAGATCTGCTCTCAACTCCTCAGATTCCTGATGATGGTGAAACTTTATTGAATAACAGAAAAGAGAAAAAGAAATCGTTGGCTCTGAACGTTCCGAATTTTTGCTGAAATCTGATTTTTTTCTGTTCATGCTATCGATTCAAAGCGACTTGTGAAACTAATTAGTTTTAATACCCATAAAA